CGAACTCTTAGATTTTAGTATCGATCTATATTTGGGGCGCAAATGAACTTTCGTCGATCGCCTATGACGACTAAGTATCACACTGGAACAAGCTCTAACTACACCCATTTTAAACAGTATATAAAACAGGTGTATTTCACTTTTAGGTACAAGACTTTTGTAGCAAAATGACCCCAATAAAATTTGGCCTGAACGGACGACAACTGAAGTAGTCATATGTAGACTTCATTTTTACACCACTCTTCTTTAAATGTCATCCTACTGTCCCGCTGCAATTTCTTCTGGTGAGTCCGCGCCAAAGCTGGAAAGCACTGAACTCCAGTTGCGCTCTCATCAAAGCCCATCAGTAGTGCATATACTTGGTAGTGCCGGGGCTTGAACTTGGGACACCTGACATGTGAGGTGTGCGTTACCAGAACTCCACCAGCGCACGTTGGACGCATCTGAATTTCCACGTCTGAACGGGCGAACATGTTCACGCCTGAGCTAGTTTGCCCGACAGCTGGGATTACGACCCAGTAACTGCCCTGGTTGAGTCGATCGACTGGCCTAGCTATCAGAACTTCTCACTCAGGCAGCGCCACGGACGCCTGAAACGTGCTAGGCAGTTTTGGATAGTTGTGGATGGTTGTGGGACTTTTATAATCCATGCTCACATATATAGAATTGACGGTCAAGATCGATTTTTACGCAAAATGGCTACATAACTATTTCGTGCATATTTTGACCTTATCAGCTCATCTCAAAAATTCACCGGTACGCCGCAAAAAAATTGAGTAAACGAATTATTTGTTTGAGCGACGTACGGCACGTCTATGTTCATAATCCTTTTGGCTGTTGTAAAACCAAAAGTAATGAATGCTTTCCTGAACTTCATTAAAATATGGAGCGTCCTTTTCTAAAAATTTTTTTCCATCTTTCCTAGCGGCTTTGAGCTCCGGAGCCAATCGTGCATGCTCCGTATCAACGACACTTGGTCCCAACATTCACTCAACATGCTTCGGTCTAGGAACCGCGCCATCCGACACAAATACACCTCCACAAAACTCAACTGGAGCGCTACCTGGTGCCTTGGATGATGTTTTTCACAGCCCTTCCAAGAGGCATTCTAAATTTGAAAGCAGGTTGAAGAACAGCCAAAGTCCTACAGCTTATGGAAAGCAGAACTCACCCTCCTATCGTAAACCCAAATAGAATTCCTGGCTGTCAATTTTTAAGTGCAGCTGCTTACGTAATACGTCAGAGAAGACTCGAATGTCGATCTCATTTAAATCAGCAATCCACAATGGCAACAACGGTTGGTTAATCCTCGAAAGAGGCTTAATCTATTTGATTGTGTGTTACGCAGACCTTTCTTCTAGTTCGAGCAAAGTTGGATGTTCGTCAGTGGCTAATGTCGCCGTGGAGCGACTACTAAAGGGACCGGCAGGAATGGTCCCTTCTGGAGGAGCCAAACAGAATAACTTAGGCGTAAGACCATGTTGCTGTTTATTTCTTATGATAATCGCAGCAGTTCATTCCAACAAAGAATCCTTCAGAGCCACTTCATTCAATTCTCTCTGGGGTTGCCTTTAGTTCGTGGTAAACTCAAGAAACTGCACTTATTTTGCCTATTTTGGAAGTTTTACTACTTAGAGTAGATGCATAGTCGGAGCAGGAAAGAGCTTTTCAGGATTGTTCGGTGCTTATTATTCACTCCGCGATTACCATTGACTAACAGGAGCAATTGTTTGACTAGTTAGATGGTTGTCTGATTAAGTTAACAGCTGGTAAAAACAAGATCAACGCTTAGAATAATTGTCACTTGCTAACCGATGAACTGAACTCCATGATTGTCATGACACCATACTTAATTACTCAATGAAGTTAGCAGACTGTTCAAAGAATCAATTTGTGTGTATAAACACCTAAAGAGTTGCCTGAAGAATGGCAGCTCATCCCTCCGAATTTCTTGCGACGTGTGTTTTATGTGCGTCATGAAATGTTAGAGCTTCAACCTACTGCCTGTCCTATAAGAAGACAGGTGATGGTACAGTTAACAGAATGTTTGTCAATGTTTTATTGTCCTGTAAACGACATTGGCGTGTAATAGCATAAGGTGGTTGAACCACAACGATTTCCTCCCCGATACATGGACGTGATTACACTTCACTCCCATCATTAGTATAACTTTTCAATGTCGTACCCCATCCTTATTACCATGGGTCAGTTGTCATCTGTTCCAAAACCTTCGGCCAGAACCTTCAGCCACTTAACTAACGTCTTTATCACCGAGCAAGTCCCAAGTTAGCAAGTCTTGTAGTTCTGAAATTTTTCAATTTGACGATGACTATGTCATCTAAAGACCGCATGACCACCAGATGGCAGTAAGTTGCGGACCTCATGTTTTGCTCCACTATCTTGCGTGCTAGCCCCTCATCCAAAAACTACGAAAGGTTGCTTCTAAGCAAGCTTTCCACTCGGGACTGAAAAACAGGCAGTGCCCTGTCCATAAACAAACCCTAACATTACGATTACGTGAAAATCGTACAATAGCACTTCTTCCGTGAATTGTTTGGATGACAATGCTAAGTCCTCTCGAATACCTTCTGCGTCCAATTCAATGAAACAAGCTATTCACTTTTGGTGTAAAGGCACGAGCCGACAGATGAGACGAATGCATCCATTTCTTTCACCGGTATGATTTTGAATAATTGCATCAATCACCTTAGCCGAAAGTTGTCATGGTCATGACGGCTGTGTTCTTTTTTTGGAATGTGGTGTACAATCGATGTATTAACTCATAGATGACTCCCAAAAGTGCAAAAGTCAAAACTGAAACTGTTCGTCATTTATTGGAGTCTGAAAGAAAACTTCAGGCAGACTGAACTCATGGTTAAACATTTAGCTCACATGTACCAAATTGGGAAAACAATTTGGGCTAACTGGCTGACGCCGGGTTGCGTAATCACACAGAACAGTTTCAACACCACAGAACTTCAACAAAATCTGTGATCGTACAATATAAACAGGGGGTGGTGGAAGAGAAGTTCTCAAATCAGATTAGCTGACTCCGCACCGCAGCAAGTCCATCATCCGCTCAAGAGTGGATGACAAGTGCGACCGCCACATAATGTCCCGTTCGATGCGTAGTATTCTACACCATTCTCCACATCGAATGAGTGGAACAAGGTTTATCAAATATAATACTCCTATTCCGACCTTGTGACTGACTACAGAAAATCCTCCGCGGGCATGTGGGAAAAGTTTTCCCGTATGAGAAGTCGGTCGATAATGAGTATGAGGACAGATTGACTCTTAGTTGTCAATATTCTGGAAACGAAAACAAACTGTGCTGGATGCGATTTGAACATGCAAAATCTAAAAATATCCTACCAGACCGAGTTCAAAATAACTTACATCTTTCCATCCGCAGCTGTCGCTAAGTTGACTTAATTTGGAAGTACCGTACGTCTCCGTCCCTATTCTGCAGTTGAGGTCACCCACAAGGTAAGTGAGTAAAGCTTCTAGCACTGTCGTCTTGTCCCTTTATAGATTCTGGCACCAAAACACCGTCGACCAAAGACATGACAATCCCCATCACTACGATTCGAAAAAAGGACGTAAAAAGTTCCGGTTGTTTAAACACAGATCACTTCGCCCATTATTCTTACCAAGCAAATGTGCACAAGAGTAACAGCCCAGATGCACTCTCTGTTAAAGATTCCCTCAAATTTGCGGTGCACCCCGGTTAGCCCATGCGCTTCAAATGTCTGGAGGGTTGCTAAAGCAGCTGAGATCTGCGAAACCTCGGTGGAACTGGAGAACCGGAATCAGTAACGGTTGCTTCTGAAGAGCAGTTCAATTGCAAAGGCCAGCAAGACTAGCACACGCCTACCTGGTTGGAGAGCGTGTGACAACCCTCAGTAATCAGTAAAGACAGTTTGTCCTAAGCCGAACATACTACAGTCATCAGCGGGCTTAAATTCCTAAACCAAACAGACTAGTTGAAGTATCTTATCCTCCAAATTCAGTTTCTGGTACAAATAATTAGCTCTCGGTTTTCCCCTGTTTCGAGTTTTTGAACTCAAGGACAAGAGGAATTATCATCATCATCATCGACAGCATGACATCAGTGTTCACTACCGATGCTTCACTGCCGTAGAAGAGGGATTAGCTACTCAAAGGAACGAATCAACGCTGAAAATATCTACTTGATTGAAAGTACCTCCTTTCAATGACCTGGTATCCGGATTCGAGAGCATTGAAAAGAAACAGTGAAAGCTATGACGAAGACGAGCGAGGGCGTGTAATTTCACCGTACATGACGACGGTAGTGAGTTACAGGCAGCTACGATAAATACCGTCTACCTAATTCCGAACATGGCGACAAAGTTCCTGGCTCTAGCACACTATCGAGGGTTTTCTAAAGGAAGCGAAGCTCCAAATCATCGGAGGTCATACTGATACCTTGTGTGGACATGTGGAAAATGTTGTGAATGAACAAAACTTAGGGTGAGGACATCTATCAGACGTTGATACTGATGGCATTTGCGTCGATCGACGTGCACTTTGCTTTTCGTTGATGTTTTTGACCTGCATGAGGTTGGAGGGTAGCGCTGAAAATGAGTCGCTTTATTATATTATTACGGAATACTATTCACATGTATCGATGGTCACCGAAATAAATCAGCGGATCGAGATATTGAGTGTGCGCAAACCCATCAGTTAATTGTCCTGTTATCCGCCCGACAGTATTTTAACGATCGTCAAAATCAGCTGTGACGTTTGGTAGACTTGAATGGGAGCCTTCTAATCCACGGTTGAAGTCAATAGGATTCATGATAGCAAATTCCTTTAGAATGGATTCTAGCCAACAAAAGTTGGAGAACCCTGATGCGTATAGACAACACGTTGCCAGTGCAAACGACATCGAGCTACGTTTCAAGTCTTACGAGGATTTTTTATTACGGATATAAGGATCGGAATGCTTTCATGGACAGCCAAAAACATTGCGCTTTTGCAACACCGCATTTCACGGGAGGTCTTCAGCACCGTCAACATGATTTGGTCCAAATTTTGAAATAGATTTACGACATTTCGTAGAGATTTCGTTCTGTAAGTAAAACCAATCTATGCTGAAAAGCTGAGAAGAACTGCTCCTTATTGGAAATCATCAGCAGTACGTATCTCGCGAAACTCCAGAGTCTCGAACCCGTGACCCCCTGGCTAGTAGTTTGAACACGAGCAGCTGATCAGCAGTGTGATTAACTAGCAGCCGTACAGTGCTTCTCAGCATAGATTGGCTTCGCTTACAAGATGAAATCTTCACAAAAATCCCCAAATCTCTTCAAACTACCAGCAGATTCCCGTCTCCCTCAACCTTGGGATTTAGGCTTCCAGCAAGTGCTTGTCAACCTATCAGTGATCAGCTCGTTTTGACTAGCCAAAACAACACGGCAAAGGAGCGATTATTTTTGTGCTTACCAATCCTCTTCACAGATAACCGTGAAAAGGATGCATTACGATTCCTTTTGGATATTGCTTCTTTTCAGGTGGATAACGCACCTGAAAAACACACGCCATGCCATTATTTCAACGAATGTGCATTTTATCCCTTATGGTTTTACTGTTCACGCAAGGTAAGGCGTTGTGTACGGGAAACAAAGAGGATAATCAGCTGAAAAGCCTGTAAACTAATGGTTAGGACTTAGCAGGTTACATTTTTCGCCGGGGTTGCAATTCACAGCATTCCACTAACCAGTCCTTTTTCACACGTTAGTCAAAATAATCCGTATGGTGGTGCTTGCACGCACTTTATTTACTTATACTTGTGCGGTTAGTATTGCTTACACGCGCGGTAATGCTCAAATGGCTCGTCATCAATATGATTAGCACCATTCACTCTTATTTATGTGTGGTAGGTACTGCGGTTGGGCTGTGCCTAAGGTGGTCCGATTAGTAGTTCCCACGGCCAGTTTCGTTTGTTACCATAACTGAGTCAAAAAGAATCACAGTCAACTATTGAGCAGAACACTAATCGCCTTATATTAATTCAGAGATGTAACGCCCCTGTTAACGGATAGTGGAAATAAGGGAAAAATAGACGATCTTCATGTACGATATCAAAATATCCAACTCCACTCGGAAACACTATGACACTTGTATTTAGCTGAGCGCCAGTCCTTGATCAGAAACGGCACTGGTCTGTTTTGTTATCAACGACGCGACTTACTTCCTGTTGCTCGCCTGTTAGCACTGCTTGCTAGTTTTGACGCATTATTGTATCTACCAACAATGGATTTGCCCGCAAGATAAGTATTCAATGTGAAGTGTCCAGGCGTGTTTGAAATCATCATTCCTGACTTGGAATTCAAAAATGTCAAGCTCCACTGTCATGCCCATTTTTATCGAGGTGGCTTGCCTGATATCGCAAACTTATGCACACAAACATTGAATTTGCGAGCTCATTATCTGCTAGGCTACCGGATAGAAACACGTCGTTTGCACGACATGATGTCTATCCGATAGGATTCACATAACGTCACTCGCCTGATACTCTGAGCCACTAAAAAGACCAACCAGGCGTCCAAGCGACTTGTCTTATACCACCGAACCGCAATCCGCCAAAAGCCAGTCCACGAGGGCCTTGGAACTGATTTCGTCAATCTACCTAAGCCACTAACAGATGGACCAACAAAGACGTGCTTTGTATCGTTTCTCACTTGAACCCGTAACTCAGTGACGCGGCTGTCTGGTGAAATATTACCAAACGTAGGTTTCGGTAAGCGTTAGGTAGGTGCATTTGGAGATCAACACGACACTCAACATAACAATAAATTTCCAACAGGATCACCTCAGAAAACGGTACCCAATCTGCAGCCATATCACCGGATGACCTACTAACTTTCTTGGAATTTGCAGGCTTTAAAAACAGCACAATCGGTTTCGGAGGTAGTGTAGGGTAAAAAAAGAACAAGAAACTTCAGCGAAACAATCAAAGAAAGGAATATCACATGTGTTGTGAAAAATAAGAATGGCACGAGTTAAACACGAAGGTCTCAGTGCAAACAGTACGATACACAGCGCACCTCAACCTCATCCACGTGTCTCCGTCTGTTCGATGACCGGGGGTGTATCTGTGAGACCTGCCTCAGTGGAAGGCGCCGCTGTCAAATCCACCACCACAGATTGTACTTCTGCACGGTGCTCGCCAGTCGTATTCGATGTGTTAGTCCCGTCCGTTTCGTTCAGATCAGGCCACTCCGTGATTTCCTCGGAAGTAGCTGATTTGGTGAACAGACGCTCATTCAGTGCTTTCAGAGCGATTCGTCTACATACAGAAGTATGAGGTATGAGATGGAAGTGGAGTCCGATATGGTTTACCTTATGTGGAGTTCGTACGGAAAACAACAATTAACCAAAACCATTCCAGAGGCAACGAGGTCTCCAAAGAAGTTCTGAAAAATTAAGACCCTCACATGCCGTCACCCCAAAATGTCTTTGCCCTACTTTATATTAGACAGACAGTCACTGTTTACCAGAGGTCCACAAGGGCAAAGATATCCACTACGCTTAGTGCCGACTTTGAGGCAGTGTCGCTACCTGAACGGTCAGCAAAATATTTGCAGTTTCGAAAAAAAGCAGAGCTCCATCCAGAGGAGTAGTTCATGGAACAAACACTGTGTCAAGTGGAAAGAGACCAATAATCCCAATAAGGTACAAGAACGGACCCACACTGCTGTTTTCCGTGGCACGGGGTTTGAAGCGAAAATATGAGAGACGTGCTCAGCGAACTGCTAACTCTGCTGTTATTTCTGGATAATATTCATACATATACAAGCGGCAACTGGAACCTTCACCTTGGCGGATGAATAAGTCCTGGCGGTCCGGTGAAGGACGAAATCACTTCCCAAATCGGGAAGGCCAGAGCAACGTTCGTCAACCTCCGACATTTATGGCAACGAGGTGACATTAGCTTGACGTCAAGGATACAGTGTACAGTACCACGGTTCGATCTGTCCTACTTTATAGATGAAAGACGTGGCCGCGGCGTATGTAAGATCTTCGGAAGCTGTGTTGGGCTAACTATCAGTGCCTGTGAACCAATGAGTGGGTCTGGTGAAAACATCAGACCAGTAATGCTGAGGCACGTCAGATGGTTTTCGAGAAAATTCACTCTCCCCGATAGGTTAGCTGGTCACATCCACAGCTTACCAGTAATGCTGAGGCACGTCAGATGGTTTTCGAGAAAATTCACTCTCCCCGATAGGTTAGCTGGTCACACTCCACAGGTTACGCTGGTGAGGCCAGATATTTCGTATGCCAGAGGACGGTTTGCCTCGTGGAGCCCTGTTCACCCAGCCTTGTGTAGGATGGAGACGACCGAGGGGCGGTCAGTGGGGGGATCGTCGGACAAGACAAACGAATGATTAGTGACCCTGAAAGATGACTGTGTTACGTGGCCAATACCGATCTTGCACCAAAGCTAACGCCTTCGCCGGAAGCTGAATTATCCCACTGTACACATCCTCTTACCCTCCAGTCGGATTGTCTTCCGGCCACATTGGATGCGTTAATCAGTCCGTAGAACAAAGAGTACGAGCAGACAAAACTGCCTTAATAATAATAATAATTTCTATACAAAACACTTTACTGAGGCAATTACCAATTAGTTACGCGCCCGTCCAGGATAACGTCACTAGATGTTCATGGGCGATTCAAGGAACGGCGGGAAGGTATCAAATACCCGGACACACATTCGAATAAGCAAGGCCAAGGAAAAGTCAGTCTATGGCATTGCCAGTGTTGCAAAAAGTGTCTTGTTAGATTTCATGCTTTGACTCAGATCCCATTACATTAGAACGGATATTACCCGACTGTGATCTACCGTTTCTCTTGCAGGCCTTCGAGTCACGGAAATTGAGCGACACAAGAGGCAGCTTAGGCACGACGGCTTTATCCCGGATAGAGGCAACAATCACTGTGGTGAAGTTAAAACGCGTATCGGGACGTTGTTTGACCAGACTAAATAGAAGTGTCCTTGAGGATCATCGGCACAGTGAGAAATCAATCACGCCATGGAAACCAGCATAATTAAGTGCAAGTCTCCTGTGGTGAGAAAAAATGGAACAGAGGTCTCTACTCGGGCAACGGTGGCGCCTTTATTACCGTCCATTTTCACTTCTTTCCATGACATCGCAACCAGGGGTCAGATGTTCCTAACATCAGTGATACATACCTCTGTTGTCTTCAAGCATCTTGGAGCCAATGGACAGAGAAGAGCGAGCCTATTGCCCTGTTGAGAATCTTGATGTAAGTATCATAAGCAGCCGACTAGCAGATAAAGAGCAAACCGAAAAAGGAATAGCATGAGTACAAACAAGAATAAGAACCTCATTGCTGTGCAACCTACCGGTGGCGGTCAGAATCAGATGTAAGTCCCGGGATTCCAGCAGCAAAAGACGCGGTGGAAACAATCTCACTTTGTCGCTCCACTCCTGGACATAGCTTTGAACGCAGCAAGACGTGGTAGATGAGGTTACTAGGGAAAGCAACCCAATGCTCACATGCTCCAGGAAAGAATCTGTCACAGGATTTGGGTGTACAAAAGATACTTTTGTAAGTTAAGTCATCGCATTTTGCTCAGCAAACTGTTTGCCGCTATGTCAACATCTATTACAAGAAATAAAGTGATGCAAACAATCACAGGTTTCTAGGCACATAAAATTTAAGCTCTATCAGCGCTAAAGTTTGATACAGGGCGTGTGGCTTCAGTATCGCCACCGGAGTTCATTGAAGTATCAGTGCGAAGACACCAAGAAATGGCTAGTGGTAATTGCTCCGGCGGCTGTTGACCTGTTTCCTAAGCTCCGCAATCGACTTGCAGACATTCCGTCACCTTTCGAGGAGACATCATCAGTGCGCAATGACGACGTGCCTCCAATGGTGGCAAAATTCCTGCGAATCAATTGCCTAGCTGGAGGAATAGACGGAAAGCGATCTCAACAACTACCAGTGAATGAAACCGAGCTACCGATATCCTAAAAATTCCCCAACGAAATGACTACCTTTATAAGAAAAACAGTGTAACGTTCACGGAAAAAAAGAAACCACAATAGTCTGTCACATTATAAAGTGCCCCTGCTTCCGGATGTTCCTTTGTGCATGAAAAAAAGCTGAAAGAACACTGTGGACGTAACTTTCGAGCCTAGCAGCGGGTCATTTCAATTCAATTTATCGGCTACGGTGTAGCACAGGTATAATGGTTCCAGCTATGGTTTCTGTCACCGGAAAGTGGGAGAGTGTGGGACATACAAACAAGCTTTGGATGCGATGGTATGTCCAGTTGGTTCGGGAAGTGTGTAGCTACGTATTAAAGGCGTTAGCTTGACGCACGCGCGTCAGACTGCGCGGTTGAGCCATTTCTGCAAGTGTCATCAACCATTGGTGAGTTGAGTCCCGGGGTCCCCATCCAGGGGGCGGTAGTCGTCGAATCGACTCACTTTACTGGTTGATGTTTTCATTTTCGGTTACCAGGTTATACACTGTTCACCTCTCGATTACTACCATTCAGTACAAGGCTAGTCGTAAAGAGCTCGAAGCAAAAGGTCCGCTGACATGCGGATTACATGTCCTAACCAGCTTAACCTATGTAGCGTAAGTAATCATCTGTCACGGGAGTCCCCTCTTCCTAAAACTATTTGGTGTACCTAAACATAGCTAATCCGATGTTCCCACCAAACTCGTCCAATGCTTCGGATACACCGACAGTCAAACACTGACATCTTTCGTGTGTCCTCTGTGGGTAGAAACTACGTCTCTGATCTATGAAGCAGTATGGATCGCAACGCCGCAGTGTAAACTCTGTTCTTGACAGACAAACTGAAGTCATATTGGTGCCATAGGTTGGGAAGTAGCTACTCTGACCTTTCAGATTCCAGAAGTAATTTCATCTCCAGCTAGTCCAGAGGGACTAATACGACTGCTCAGGTAAACGAGCTTGTCTACCACATCGATTGGCTCACCTGCAGACATGAAGTTTAGGTTCGATCTCATCCGGTCCTGTGACAGCCGTTTTCACTTTGCATGTGTAAAGCGCACGCCAAACCGTGCGGCAGAGTTCGTTAAAGTGATTTTAATTTTTAAATGATTTACACAAATGAGGGTTATACATACCGCATGCTCAATACCTGTGAGCCAACGTCCTGGGAACACTTCGACCCCCAAAGGTCCAGGCGCATGAAGGGAAATTTCAAGCAGCATATCAATAACAAAACTGAAGAGGATGGCGAGATGGCTGGGTGTTTAGAGCGCCAATTTACTGGCCGTGGTTCAAATTCAACTTAAGCATCTCGACTTTCCCTGTTTAGGCTTGGGCAACCTGGGAGTATTCCAGCCCTTCCTTCTGCTTCCTTCTGGTGACGTGACAGCTAGGCACCGGAAGGGTGTTGCAGCCGAACGACTCTTTTAAGAGGAATGATGGGTGATGCAAGCCATGTTTTACACAAACACAACTGGACTTAGTGGATTCAGGTAAAGAAAAAATATCCAAAAAAGCTTTCAGGCAAAGACTTGCTGTATTCTCATGCGCACCCACAGGAGTTCGCATACAGTGCCTTCAAAAGGGATTTAAGTTCGAAACGGACACCTTCGATCGCCAGTCACCGCCAAAGTTTCTGACGATCGACAGAGTCAAAAACAGCTCCCATGTCAAATAAGACGACAAATGTAGAACGTTTGAAAGAGTGGCGCTGTTCAATAACTTGTCTTGAGGTGGGGATGTCGTCGATGCGTCCTCAGCCAAAGCGAAACCCATCTTGATTTTCAGTAATCTGTCTCTCCCGGTGATTGACCAACCTGCGCAAAATAATGCCAGAGAGCAGCTTAGATGGGATGGATACCAAGTTGATGCCACGGTGGTTACCGCGTAAAATCCTTGCGTCCTTCTTGAAAACTGGGATGACGGTCGACGAGCCGTGTTCGTCCGGCACTCCGTTTTCGTTCCAAATCTTCTAAAGTATGGTCATCAGGCGGTTCACCAGGATCCCACTAACTTCTTTGAAGAGTTTGGGGTGTGGACTATCCGGACCAGAGGCTTTTTCGCTTTTAAGGACTGGTATTCCACACTGGATTGCTATTATTGACGGCGGGCTGGTGTCGATGTCCCACTCAATTCCGCAGGGTTCTTCTCCAGTGGTTGCACATAAGAGCTGAACATAAGAACACTGAACCGTTATTTCAACCCATCGCTCAAAATGACGACTTTGAGAGTGAATTTCCGTACCGGCTATTTCACCCATTGTTTCGGTGACGATTGTCTTCTTTCGACCAGTTAATCAAATCGGCTGAAATAGAGTGCGGCTCTTGCCTGCAGCGAAAGCCTTCCCCATCTTTTGGGCCTGAGCAATCCACCGACGTACTCCGTCATCCTTCAAGCTCCTGATTATCCGGCGTTTGAGAGATCTGCGTGGGCCATCACAGGCATTAGCTGATGTTATATTCTTTCTGGCAGCAAAAACACCTACTGGTCTCCGCGATATGCAGTGTTCATTCAATCAAATCGGATGGCCTGGACAAACAGTTCTGGAACCTGAGAGCATAGCTTTTTAACTCGCTTCTATTCAACCTCCAAGCAGTCTTCGTTATCCACAAGACTGAGTTTCAAGCATATTTCTAGCCAGACCAGCTCGATACTCTTGGCCTATCGAAGATTGTCATAGTTGATAAATGGAGTTGTTTTGCTTCGGTATGCGCATTGCAGACGGAAGCTGAAGTGATAACCGAGCTCGCACAACCGCATGATCAGAGTCAAGTTGTGTACCTCAGAAGGAACGAGATTGAGATTCTCCATCGACAACTGATAGTCAACATGGTCCAATTGAGTAAATGACTGTCTTCCGGTTGTAGCCTCCAAGTAACTCAATGTCAGTATTTGCGCTGCAAGTTAGCGCTGGCCAGAAAAAGTTGACCAGCATACAATTGAAGCAGTCGTTCCCCATTTATATCACCCGCTAGGATTATTATATTCGACCTTTTCGCTGAATGAAGAAGTGGCGATTGATTTCGATAAAACCCATCCTTCTGTCTCAGAACTGCAGTCTGTTGGGGAGTTTAATGATACGGCAAATAAGCACCATTTGCCCCATCGACCTGCATTGACCTTGAGCCAAACAACCGCACAGCACAAAGACGATTGTTTACTGGAATCCAGTCAAGCAGAGCACCTTCAGCTTTAGAGCTGAGCGCAATTTCCACACCGTAGGTACTGCGAGCCAGTGCGTCAAAATCACTAGATGTGCAAGAGTGAAATGTGGAACATTTGAGCTCGTCCTAAGCGACTTGAGGTGTGCGACCTGGATGGGGTCTTGCACGAGTGTTTCGGAGACACAGTATACATCAACAAAGAAGGAAAGCAATATTTCAGCAAGAGACGCCTGTTGCCCAGTTGGGCACTGACGGCTGCAACTTGGATCAGGTGTTTTGAGGTCAGTAGCCGATTATTTTGTTTTACTTTTCTGGGCAATGGTAACAGGTAACAATGGCTATGGGACTGGGAAGTGGGATCCAACTGCATCATTCGATGGTTGTGGTGTGTGAGAGGGTCAGTGAGTGAAAAGCTGCAAGGGCGAATGATACTTCACGGCCGCTTAAGCCGAATAAGTTGGGTGTGGTTGAGTTTTCCAACCTCGAGCCCTTGACTCAAAAGTCTGACCCACAATGTAGTGGGAGGATGTAGGGTTTTGTTCAGGGACCCTCCCGGTAGACTCTGACTCAGAAGTTTGAACCGCGAGGCAACAGTTGTTAGGGCTTCCTTGGGAGACCCTTTACGGAGTCAATAACTCAATAGTCTGACCCACTTGGCTGCAGCGAGCTGGCATGGTTCCAGAACGCAAGGAACAAGGCATTACTGTCCAACTCCTAATTCGGCAGCGCACAGCAGATACCTTTTGAGCAGCGTCGGATTGTTTTTCAGTGTCGAAATAGTGGTAGCTCGGGTGTGTTTACTGGTGGTTGACTAACAGATATCTGACCAACCACCGGACACTTTGATTCGAAAAGTATACTGAGTAGTGTGCCGGTGGTCACGGTCAACCATTGGGCGACCGGAGTGTGTGGCTTTCTAACCCGTCCTTCCCCGGGGGGATGTAGCATCACTGATTCCATAAGAATATGTAGATGGTGGTCGCTTGGAGAAAACACCCCTTCACACTCCTACCGCTAAGGGCAGTACAGCTTTACCCCTCGATCACCTCGTAATACTATTTCTCGCAGTTCGGAGACTTGCTGTCCTTTGTCAGGCTGCTCCCCATAAGTTGAACCTTTAGAAACCGTGCTCCAGTCAGTATAGCCCACTGCAGCACGGACACCAGGACAGCGTGACAGCTCAAGGTCGGGCCTCATCAGTGCGACTGTAACGAAGATCACGATCGTTCATACATCACACCATAATTCACTGCGCTATACGGGGGTGTGTGCTTGACACACTCATACCAAGCTGGGTATAAGTTTGACTAACACATCCTTCTAGTCCACCAAGCTGAGGATTGGAGACTCACTAAACGTGGAGACTGGTCAAGTGGTCTTGCGTCAGAAGCCGCTAACTTTCGGCTAGACTTTGAGCCAAAAGCTTTTGTTGAGGACAATACCCGAATCGTTGCTCTGAGGACTTCCAACAACAATTCAAAGGGTCACCTGCTACTGTTCAAGCGGATTCACTAATCGCAACCAAACCCTGAACGGTGAACCTGGAACCCCCAACCGCTTCAGAAACAGACCAATGACTTTTCAGCTTCAATCACTACCGACCTGCAGTTCCTGATGAATTCCCGCCCGATCTGTTTAAGGAGATGGGAGGTATCTAACTTTTTGCCCCTATCCGTGTGGAATGAACCATCTCAGGCAGTTCGGACAGGTCAACAGCAGTACTGAAAGTGAAAATCACAGAGAGGAGGTTTGAGGTAAACAAACTGCCAGTCACTTTGACTGTTCCAACGATTCGGATGAGCTTTCAAGTACTTGATTAGGCATCAACTCGTTGTATCTGACGCAGCCAGATAACTGTTGCTGCGCCACGATAACTGCGCTCCTGAGATCAAAAAGGTCAAATCTCACAACCATTAAGTAAGACCACTGTTACAATAACCCTGTACACAGATTTATTTGACACTATAAACGACGCAAGTTGGCGTACGCTGCCAACGCACTGATTTCATTTGGCCTATGCGGTTGCCATAATGCGTGGACCGATCGATCAACTCAAGTTCTTCATTCTGTACAAGATGATGGGGAATCCTGAATAAGACTTTATAACTGGGAGGTGCAAGACATACAGAAAAACTGTACCAACTCTGGTGTCCCAACTGAGTACTTTGCGCAAATCGGAAATCGGAACAAACAGTCTGTGGCTCAAACCCAACCTCCGCATCTCGACTGCTTCTGTCTAGGCCTGGCTAAGCTGACAGTATTTCCGTACTTGTGCTTCCTTCGGGTGGCATCGTAGCTAGGCACCTAAAGGGTGTTCCAGCTGAATGATTATTATTACTTCAGGCAAACAACGATGTCACCTGCATAGTTCGGGTCCACTATTTTCCCTACCTGGAGTTGTAATTCACAGTAACGCCGACAAAATCAGATATGAAAAGAAGGCATGGACAACCCGGACAGCTCCTCAGAAGATTCAGGACAGTTCACTGTACAACCTAAACCGAGTGCAGGTATGGGAATACAGCGCATGAGAAATTACGGACTTCAAGGTAATCGATATTTGGCTATGAATACCTACAAAGGACAATCTATCCATAGTCCAAAGATCTGTGAGGATGATCATTACTTGTCATCGGCATACGTGGCGTTGCCCAAGCACTTGGAGTAATGTAAGCGTATGATCCATCCATCTCTTACCAGGGTTTTCGCTTCGTCTCCGTCTTCAAAGATGAGGACGATGTCGTCCCTGTACCCCAGATCAACAAGTTTCTTACCCGTAACGATCTAAACAGTGCTCACCGCATTATTTAACTGACGAAAATGAACGGGAATGGATGGAACGGATATCCTTCTCAGACCACCATTTTTGTAGGAAAGCTTTTGGAGAGCTCACTGTAACCTTTCGAACAGACGCAACGGATTAAGTTCACAAACTTCTGGAAAATACCCTGTTAAGCAAGTGTGGTTAACAGCAATGACCGACCGACAGCAGTGAACGAACCCTTGGGGCCAAAGAACACCAATATTGTGGGTCGTCTGTACATAAGGCGTTGCGCTGACACCTGACAGTGTCAAGAAGTGGTGGACGCAGCATTTATCCGATCGAGATCCCACTTTATGCTCACGGTTCAAATCTTGGCGCGCTGTGGTAAGACGACGAAGAATCAATGAAACCAGAAACCTTGTTAAAACGGGAGTCAAACTGACACCTCTGTGGGGATTACATTCACTGCGAGTACCCTTTTTGAAAATGAACAGTATTGTCGACTCACCCGTTGTCCGGGGCGGTTGATTTCCTCCGAATAAACATGAATAGACTAGAAAGTTCTTCCCCTCAGAGAGACGCAAACAGGCCTGAGCGGTACCGACTGCATAAAGTGGGTGGAAGCTCGTCCAGATGAGGAGCTCGAGGACGCTTGAGTAGGGATGTACACATTCGAGTCCATATTCAGAGCCCACCTTTCTGCTGCAGGCCGGCATTCCCGATTGGAGGCAGCAGGTGGCAAGCTGAATTGTTGTTCGAATTGTACGTTCCGAGCCCATGCAGGTACTGCAGAAGAGGTGACAGGCAGTTGTCGGGTCACTACCGGTAGCTGGCGGGGCTGGTTCGTTGGTCGGCACTATGTCGTCAAGAGTTCCCGATGTTCCGGAAGTCAGCACTGCAAATAAACAGCATGTGACTGACACATAGCTGAAACGGGTGCTCTCCATTGCCCATGCCCCTCGGACTCAACCCAAAACGACCACCAATTGGGGCTAAGCACCGTCACGAAGAGACTAGACCTTACCGTGGTGCGATGGTTTGCGCAACTCAGCGATCCATTGAGCCATACTGGAGAGTGTCCCGCGACACTCACAGTCTCTCATACCAGGTTGGTCAGTGGTTAGAGGTCTGACGAACACAGTCTCCCGGCCCTCCAGGTTGGGGGTTGGAACATGTGGTGACTCGTTCCGTAGAAATGGTAATACATTTGCATTTCCCGCCAAAAACCGCTGCCTTGCGGTTAGGCTTTTGAGCCAAAGGCTTTGGTTGAGGACCCTAATCGTCCTCCTCTCTAGGTGTGGGCGCCCTGGCAGTATCCCAGCCCACGTACAACCATGAATTGCACATACACAAATAAACTCATGCCACATCGGCCATCGCGTGGTGCCATCAGCCGGGTCGCCTTACTTGCTGCATACAGCAGGGCGGGTAAGCGAAAACAGGCTACTGCTGACGCTTCCCTTCTTTCTCCTTCACATGCTTTTTCTTCCCCCTCCCCACCCCATTAATAACTCTCTCCTTGTAGGCCCAGCACTTAGGACTGATGACTCCGTTCGTCATGCATCGGTTTTGCGTGCAGCATCTGCTCGTCACATGGTGCCGACATCTTCAGGAATCTCCAAATCAGTCCTCAAGCCTCGACACCCACTCTATCTGGCCGCGTTCAATGTCCGCACTCTGAAGCAAGCA